CTTATTGGGATTCATCTTCACTTCACTTGTCCTCATTCAGCTCATTACAACACTCAGGAACTGGGCCAACATCTGCACAGTCCCAGCTGACTCCAGCCACAAAGAGAAACAAACTGAGGGCACTCAACTCCAAAAGTTCTATTGAAACCCAGCAGCTTCACATAAATATTAAACAGCACTCAAGATAGGATGTAAACCTATAGCACCCCACAGCTTAATACTTATAGAGCTAAACAGGAGTCCCCAGAATGAGCTGGTCAATAGGATACCATGATCAATAGTATTAAGAGACACAGGAGGGTCAGCAGGGTAGCAATCTCCACCTTTCACCTGGAGGAGGTTGTTCGTCACAGCAACTAAAACTGTTTCATTATCACACCACAGCCCCAAACCAGCTGAAGTGGGTCTACATAATGTTTCCTTCAAGATCATCTTAGGTTGGCCGGCAATCACAATATCAAGCCCTTGAATAATGCCTAAGCCAGCCATCTGGCCTCGCCTATTACTTCAGAACCATTTTGGGATATATTAGGAACTGTTCCTTGAAAGCTTGATGCGTCAAATTGCCTTGGCAGTCAGAGTGATTGCTTCATTTTTAATTCATAACAAAAATCCAACAGAGCAGAGGGAAGCTTATGATCTCCATCAATAAGGAGATACAACCAAGAAGTGAGGTAATTTCACCCCTCCTCTGACCATCTTTTCCTTTTGTTCCAAATTTACCCATGGTGTAGCCCACCCTGTGCCATCAAAAAACAAAACAAAACTTGGCATGTAGCTCCCCAAGCCCTGCCTTTCCCTACTATCTTGTTTGGTGAGCTATAATCCTTCACTTTTGTCTTTCTCTCTTTCAAGCACTGCTATTAGGAACAGCCTGACAGTTTAGCACCAGGGGATTGGTATACTAATCAAACCTTCATCTCTCTATAAACATTTATGGGGAAATAAAGCTGTGTTATTGCTTCATAATCTTGTCAGTAAGCTAATTTGCCTGCTTTGTTGAACTAAAGCACACAGCCTGCTGTGCACAAACACCTTTTCAAAATATGCTTTTACGTCCAAGTTTGTTGGATATACATGCATCCATGTGAGTCCACATGCGTGTGTGACTGAAGAGATAACACTGTCTCTCTTGTGCAAACCATGGTTTGCTCATCATGAACCAGCCCCTGGAATTCATATAGTTCCCCCCCCCCCACTTTGCAATGGTCTTCTCTTCCTTTAACCACAGATTAGTATTAAATATGTTTAGCACTAATCATGGTTACTATCAAGACAGACTTCCTCTTAAGTCACTATTTAACTCTGTCAAGGGTAGAGAACACAGATTTTGTGGGGGTGTACATGCACACCTTCAAGTTACCTGTCAACTTACCTGTCAACTTACGGTAACCCCCAAATTTCATAGGGTTTTGTTAGCTAATGAATCTAAGGCCTAAGGAAGAACTAGGGGGAGAGAACTGATTTCTTATTGTGAAAACAGCATGGATAGGAACACTATACACAGCATAGGTAGAAAGGCTTTAGAGTGCCTGCATGGCATAGTGGTTTGAGTGTTGGACTCTGGAGACCAGGGTTCAATTCACAGTTCAGACATGACACCCACTACGTGACCTTGGGCAAGTCACATACTCACAGCCTTAGGGGAAGGCAATGGTAAACCTCTTCTGAACATATCTTGCCAAGAAAATCCCATAATAGGTTTGCCTTGGGATCACCAAATGTCAGGAATGCTTTGAAGGCACACAATAACAAAGGAAGGCTTTAAAATAACTCTGCACATAGCACAGCCCTGATTCAGTTTGTGGCACCCACAAAGATCTTTAAAAGTACTTAGTGGGAGATCATGTTTTATTTCTGCCCCATGCATCTGAGTTTAGCATTAAGGATGAATAGCCAGTATATACCAGATCAAAGGATTCTTGTGCCTAATATTACTTCAACTAACTATGCAACAAAATTGGTCTCTGGCCTTTGCACTAAACTGACATATGAACTTCCGATCTTTAACCTACACTCTATATATACTGCTATCCTCTGCCCTTCACAATCTAAGCAATTTGACCAGAACTGCTCAATACTTACAACTCCGTGCTTTCCATTTTACAAAGATGCTACTTTACCTTCAAGCCACTCTTATCTAACTCAGAATTCAAACAGAACTCAAGGACCTGAAGCCACTTTCACAATTTCCTTATGCATTTTTTGTTTCTGGGTCTATTCTCTTTATTGGGCAAGGAGACAGGCACCAACTAGAAATAACTAAAAATTTCAAACAAAAGGGATTTCTTGAGACAGTTCTCATTCTCTCTCTACTCACATACACACCCACATATACACCTCTCCATCTGAGGTTAGAGAATATTATTATTATTATTATTATTAGTAGTAGTAGTAGTAGTAGTAGTATTATTATTTCTAACCCGCCCCTCTGCTCGGCAACCAGGGCGGCGTACAACAAGATTCAAACCGATAACAATTTAAAAACACTCCTACTCCCCTATCCCTAACCCTCTCCCCTTAAAACTAAATTAAACTAGTACAAGATTAAAATGGCAGTTGCAGAACAAAATACAATTCAAAAAACAGTAAAAACAACCACTAAAAACAAACATAATTAAATGGCCACTTCCTCAATTACCATAGAATGAGCAAAGTGTGTGGGTGCTATAGGGATTTTATTTTGGGGGACAAATTCTTGCTCCAGAATGTCCCTAAAAGCACTCTAGGGGTGCCACATTACAATCACATTTAGAAGCCTCCTGGGGTCACAAATAATTTTTGCAATTTTTTTTAAAAAAGGGGTTTGCCCTGAAATGCTGGAAAATGTTCACTAGAGGGTGTGGGGTGTACACACACACACACACACACACACACACACAGGTATTATCTATCTACCTCTCTCTCTATCTACATACATATCTGCATACGTATATACACATGTATATGTATATGTATATGTATATGTATATACATATAGAGCAGGTGCAATCTTCCAAGGTCTCCTAGGGGACTACTGTGGCCCTCTAGCCTTCCACAGCTGACCACCCAGCCTTAGAGCAATGCTATGCCTGAGGCAATGTTGGAGTGGCTGCTGCTATGTTACCAATACTGCACCTTCCAAGAGAAACACAAAACCTAACACAGAGATTGTGAGAAAGGAGGGCATGTGTGACAGTGCTGCAATTAATAAGCCCCGTTTGCCTCCAAGTAAATGTTGGATAATTCTTCCTCCCCCAGAAATATATTCAGCCGAATGGTCTCCCACAGTTTAAATCTTTGGGAGACTATTCTTGCTTGACTGTACCAGCACTGGGGAGAAAGGCCACTATGTCGCTATTGAATTTAACTTCAGTGATTAATGTTCTTGCAGACGGATTCCAATTCTTCCTACAATGGGAAGAAGGAAACAGTATCTAACTTTGAGGGATAGATTTAATGTGTCCAATTTGAGAAATTTGAATCAAGCCATGGAAATATTCAATTTCCTTATGCAACTAGGGAAAATGCAAAAACTTGCTTAACAGCAGCAGTGAGACACCAAACGCTTTCCTCCTGTCATGGGCATATAGGTCCCAATTACATTTTATATGTCTGTGTATTTGTCTTCAAGTTGCCTGTTAACCTATGGTGTCCCCATGAATTTCATAGGGTTTTCTTAGGGAAGGCATACTCAGTTTTGGCATTCCCTTTCTTTGAAATATAGCTTATGGCAACTGATATTCATTTATGGTCTCCTATCCTAGAACTAACCAGGGCTGACCCTGCTTAGCTTCCAAGGTCAGGCAGGATCTGTTGCCTTTAGGGTATTTAGACTATTTTATATACCAAGTCAACCATGAGAATGGTGTAATATATACATGGTGATATGTGGAAATTGAAAGGTCTTATAATATGTACTCTCAACAGAAACAAAAGGTACACTTGATCCTAGAACATTTAGAGAGGCTGGTAAGGACACCTCACCAGTGGAGGTGAATAACAACCTCTCCATGGATTATTAGTATTATGAAATGAGCAATGCAACTCTGCTGCAATCCATGGATTCAAACATCCACAGCTTCAATATATATGTTTTTAATTCCAAAAAGCAAACCTTGATTTTGCCATTTTATATAAAGGATTCAATTTTACTTTTGTTTGTTATGTGCCTTCAAGTCGCTTCCAAGTTATGGTTACCCTAAGGATACTTATCATGGGGTTTTCTTGGCAAGATTTGTTCAGAGGAGGTTTATCATGGCCTTCCCCTGAGGCTGAAAGCATATGACTTATCCAAGGTCACCCAATGGGTTTCATGGCCGAGTCAGGATTCAAACCCTGGTCTCCAGAGTTGCAGTCCAACACTCAAACCACTATGCCACACTGGCTTACACCATTTTACTACAGCATTAAATATAATGGGACTTGTGTATCCATGGTTTTTGATATCTACAGGGAGTCCTGGAACGAAACCCCAGTGGGTACTGTAATCCAGCATGTACAGATGGCATTAGTTGGGGAAGACTGGTCTACTCTTAGCAGCCTCATGATCTGATTTTTTTTTAAAAAAAAGATGCAAAATGGCAGGTTGCAAAATCTGCAATCTTCTGCATGCATGCCATGCCTTCTACCACTAAACTCTGGCCCCTCCTGAGACTCTG